AGTGTTCAGTTTTCTCAGAATCAGAAATAGAGAAGTATGATGGTACCCAGGATTTTCAATCACACATTCTATTTGGAATGGAAAATTCCTTTGATTTCAAGTAAAATGTTAGGAATACTAGCACCATCTTCCCTGGAGATATGTCCAATAATTGGGTTCATGTATAGGTCATCAGGTTATTCTATTTATCTTTGGCAGGAAGTATCTTGTGTGAGAGTTTTTAGAGCTATGTGAAACTCCAGTTGAAAATGTGGCCCGATAAATTTTCATGTAATTGTTTTTCTTTATTATAAAAATATGATTTATATTTTATCCTCAAAATCCACATTATCTTGCCCGATGCATCCTAATATTTGGCTTTCTTATTAAACTAGGAAAAGTGTATGTGGTTTGCATGAATGTTTGTGAATGAATGTTTGTTCCATATCTAATGACTATTGCTCGGTAGTCTTTGAACAAAGAAATGGTTGTACTCTGGCATAAAATGTTTCAAAATTGTAATTGCTGAAATAACCTGGAAATATCTCATTAATTCTTTAAATTTAAGTGTGACAATTCTCCAAAGTCTTTGACTGAAGTGGTGATTAAAAATAAAAATTAATAAGATCACTAGTTTTACTGGAAAGCTATTTTGAAAACATTTTATGGTTAATATCATGGCATGAATAACAACTTTTTGTATATCTTGTATTGTAGATATAAATAATACAACAAGGAGATTACTTATCATTTGATTAATCTCCAAAACGCTAACTCAGTTTTTGTAGAACTGATTAAAGCTACAAATCTGAGTGTTGAATTCAGGGGGAAAAAGTAAAAAATTACATGCACATACACAGAGATATATTAGTTTAGCCTTTTCCTAAATGTTATATCTTGTGTGATTACTATAGAAGTCCTGGAAATAGTAGATAATTAAAAAAAAAAAATAAAGAGGAAAAGTCACCGATACTCCCACCAAGCAGATAGAATGGTCTTTAATATATATCTTTTATGTTATTTTTTGCTTCATCAAACACACATACACACGTATGCATTTTAAAAATAAAAGATAGACCCTATGCTTTGGATATCATGTGCCCTAATATAGGCATATTATTTATAAGCTGTTTTTGTTTATTTACCAATATATTTCCAAATCAGTACATGTTCTGCTATTACAACGTGTTAAATAGCTTCACAGTTTCCTATTATACATGGGTTCACTGCAGTTAGCTTGAGTCAATATTATTATGCATTCACTTTATTTCAGATATTTTCTTTTACTACATGCTGCTGTGAATATATTTATAGTTAGATCTTTGCACCTGATCATAATTTCCTGAGAATAAAATCCTAAGAAAACAAATTCTACATCATAGAATAGGGTGATTGTCTTACTAATTTACATGCTCATCAGTAGCAAGCGAGCATGCACACCCCCACTCCATATTCTTGAGAACAGGGGGTATTATCTTCAATAGTTTGTCCCAAACTATGTTTTTTTCTTTGTTTTAAAGATTTTATTTATTTATTTATTTGACAGAGAGAGACACAGTGAGAGAGGGAACACAAGCGGAGGGGGTGTGAGTGGGAGAAGCAGGCCTCCTGTGGAGAGGGAGCCCGATGCGGGGCTCGATCCCAGGACCCTGGGATCATGACCTGAGCCAAAGGCAGACACTTAACAACTGAGCCACCCAGGCGCCCCCCAAACTATGTTTTGAGGAAACCTGGTGTTTAACAGATGTTAATAAGTGTTCTAGATTAAGACTGTGAAATGGTTGATAAAATTTGGAAAACTACTACATGGTGAATCTCTCTTTTGGTAATTCATATTGCACATTAAAATATTGAAAAGGCTATGAGAAGGGCTCAGTTTTGTTAACCCAAGATTTCCTGAACCTTGGTGATCACAGAATCCTTTATTGATGGAACACCTATTAAGATACCATAAGACATCCATGTTCTTTGGAAAGCAGTTTATAAAATACCACTTGCCATTTTGAAGTCATACAGCTGGTGATGACAACAACACTGTGTGAGTTGCCTACACAATATCCATTCCCCTCCTTAGCACAGATGGTTGAGCCAAGCAGTGGCCCAGCTGAAAGGCTGTCTTGTAACCACCGCCACAAACAAGATAGAGAACAATTCCAACACCCAGGAATTCCCTCCCCCATGCTGACCACCTTTTGCTGTCAGATTGCCTTTCCACTCTCGATCCCTTATTCTTGAAGAATTCAGCTACTGGTTTGCTATCACTATACTTCTCTCCAGATACAATTCTGGGTAATTTCACTATCATTGTAGATGATTTTTCTTTTTTTTTTTTTTTAAAGATTTTATTTATTTATTTGAGAGAGAGAGAATGAGAGATAGAGAGCATGAGAGGGAAGAGGGTCAGAGGGAGAAGCAGACTCCCCACTGAGCAGGGAGCCCGATGTGGGACTCGATCCCTGGACTCCAGGATCATGACCTGAGCCGAAGGCAGTTGCTTAACCAACTGAGCCACCCAGGCGCCCCTGTAGATGATTTTTCAAACCATCTGAATCTTTCAGTGACTTAATCTCATCTTGGTCGCACATTCATACCTTGACCTTGTTGTTACCAGGTTGATAACACTCATCCATCTCAGTTTCAAGTACGCCACTGGTCATCTATCACTTCGTGTATTTCGGTAATGCTTTAACCCTTAGGGAACATACAGTCTTTCATTCTAACACCTTTTCACTATCCCTCTTCACCTCAGGCAACCCACTTCAATCCTCTCTTTTCTCCTTAGCCAGCTCAAAGGAGTTGTCCAGTCCTTATAACCACTGGACTGCTTGTACTGTCAACCTCCTCCTCCCTTCCACACTTCCTGGAACGTGTTAGGCGCAATCTAAATGCTAAATTCAACTCTCCCTACGCCTGATCCTATGCAGCCAACACAAAGCCATTAAAATTGGACATTTTAAAAATTCAAGGTCGCTACATCAAATAGGCTCTTAATGCTCTGCAGAATTCATATCCCCATTTATCAATGTCCCATGTCCTTAGGTGACTACATCATATCATATCACAAATTAGATGGCAATTTCCCACATTTTTAGATGACTATATAACATTGTAATCCCAATGTTCCTTTCTTTCCAGATCTCCAGCATCTTTAACAATTTTTGTCCTCAGCTGATAGCATGGAGTTCTGATTTGTTGGGAAAGTAGGAACAACTAAAAACAGTTCCCACCATATCTGTCCTTGTACAAGAACCTGTTTCTGCATACTTTGCTTCAGACCTTACACACATGGACAAACTCTCTATGCTTCTAGCAAAGGCCCATCTCTTGTATGCTAAATTCAGTCCTTTATGCCTAAAGACATTCCTCTAGCACTTCTCTCTCCTCTAAATAGCATTGTGATTTTCTTCCCACTCAGATAGATATACCCATCAGATTTTAAATATACTGTTATTTTTCTCATCTTAAAAAAAAAAGACAAATGCAAAATGTTAAAGCTTCTATCTCAACTTCTTCATCAGGTACATATATCTTTTTTAAAGTCAAAGTCTCCAAGAGTTGTCTATGACAGTGGTTTCCATTTTCTCTCCTTTCCTTTCTAGAATCCATCCCAATAAAATTTTTCACCACCCCCTACCCTTGTAAATGCTTTCTTGAGATCATTACAGCATCCACATTTTGCAGTCATTTTCATTTGATATGGAGCAGCTCTGGCAAAGCTGTCACTCCCTGCTTCTTGAGACACTTTATTTGGCTTCCGGGTTGTAACACTCCTCTGGTTCCCTTCTACTCCTCTAGCTGCCCGTTGTCAGAATCCTCAGCTGGTTTCTCTCCGCTTCCTGTCCTCTTAAATATTGATGTGCTCAGGCTCTGTTTTGGGACTACTTCTCCTTTTTTATTATGTTCACTCTCGTCTCCTGGTTTTAAATGCTATTGATACGCTTACACTCCCAAATGTCTATCTCAAACCCAGGTCTTTTGCCTTCATTTTAGAACTTTATATCTCAATAGACTTCTCACACTTCGACATCTAAGACCAAGTTTGTGATCATGGTGTGCTCTCCAAGTCTTCCTCATCTCCATGAGTTACTCCATTTTCCCATTTCCTCAGGCCAGTTGAATTGGAGCCAGCCTGGATTTTTTTCCTTTACCACACTCATTATATAGTCCATTGCAATATCCTTTATTTCTCATCAACATTTGCCCTGAATGTCACCAGTATTCATCAGTGTTTTAAGCCACTACCATTGCTCTAGCAGATTATTAAAATCGTTTTCTAACTGATTTCCTTGCTTCTGTCCTCACCCCTTGATTGTACTCATTCCTGGAATATAGATGGCATTGCCTGAAGGGACAACACCCAACTTGAAGTCATGATGACAAAACCTTATACTAAGCAATACAGAGGTAGTAACAATGGCACCTTTAGACTGAGGGCTAAGCAAAAGCGAATGATTTTGTAATAAAGTAAATTATCTATTCATTCACTGAACAAACATTTGATATTTTTCATGTGCTTGGGTGCATCAGTGAACAAGAGACAAAAGTCTCTTCCTTCATGGAGCTTGGATTCTAGTAGAGAAAGAAGGAAGGAAGGAAGGAAGGAAGGAAGGAAGGAAGGAAGGAAGGAAGGAAGG